CCTCCCCTTCATCAGGGTGAGGGGTCGTCCTAAATTCAGAGAACATCACGGTGTCCAACTCGGCAGCCTCAGCCAAGCTCCTACTTTTGGAGCCCTGTCCACCACCAAAAATGATGACGCCCTCAAGCGCCATGGGCCTCTTGCCCTTGTCCTTTTTGCTAGTGTCTGCCTGGTAGGTTGTGATTGTGGTTGTTTAGAAATTTGGACGAACACCTTAACGTTCGTTTGAGAAGAAGAGAGATGCCTTTTAGAAGATGGCAACTTGTACGCGTCGTTCGAAGCTCGTCTACATTAAGCATGTGTGAATATGCTTGGCACTTATAGGAAGTGGGAATTGACATATACGATTAGGGACGAGGAAAGTATTGAGCCGCCAACAAGTTTATAAGGATCTTGCTTGTAAACCATTCACGGATCATAAAAGGCAACAACGATAAAGGGACAACAAAAGGCTACAACGATTGACCCGTGAAGGTTACACCCCATTCATAATTCATGAGATTGCTAACTCCATATGGTTTGAAACCATGACAGGAGGATCAGGGATAATGGTACGAAGTAAGTCATAAAGTCACATTCGCCCGTATTGGCCTGTACTTGATTCTTAAAGTGAAAAGTACTTTTTGCGATCTCAAAGGCATGCAAACAAAATATTTAATTCGTTTCAAACTATTATTATGCTAAATTGGTTGAACGTTAATGCAACATATAATTCTAAAATATTTGTGATCACTTAACTAATTAAAAAGATTAAAAAAGAATCAAAACCGGTTGTCTAAATTAAATTATTAGGCATTATATTCAATTTCATATTCCTTTTAAACATTCAATATGGTGATCATAAAATATAGTAAAAAAAAAAATTAATATTGGAAGCAATTTGACAATAATAACGTTAGTCAATCATTTATGATGGGAGGGGTGGATTGTGACATAACATTGAAAAGAGCATTAAGAGCTCCAACTTCTCTCTACTTTCTCTCTCTTGTTATTCAGTTTCCGATACTAACTTAATCATCGGAGGCGAATATTCCGGTAAATGTAATATTCGTTATTTTGCAGGTGTCCGAACCCATCAGTCCGAGAGCGCGACTAGTATCCCAAAGGAATCACAAAAAACCCTAAAACAACTTGTTATTACAAGTTAATTAACCAGTTGGGACCATTTAAAGAATATTATACTAAAGGTCATATTATTGAAAAATAATCCAAAGTTAAGACTATACTTAGCATACGCCACAAATGTGGGATTATATCCCGCAATTTTTCCAAATTAATATATATGAGTAGATGTAAAATAATTTTAATTGAAATTATATCAACATCATCAGCTGTAAGTTGTATTAATGAGTTTACAACAAGTTGAATCTTACATAATAAGTAGTCCACATTGTTATACCATTCAAAAATCTTATCCGGAGTTAATAGTTTAGAATTTAAATTTTCAACTTATTTCTACTCATTACGTTAAAAAAAATGTATATTTTTTAGTTGACACCTTTTTTTTATCACGTTTGTCAACCCATGTTTTTAGCGATTAATATCTCTAATTATAAACTATGTAAAATTGTAAAAAATGGATATTAATAAATCATACATTGAAATTATTCAAATAAGATCCCACAAAAAAATATGTTTTGTCGTATCTATAAACCACAAAAGTGAGTCAAAGCATATTGTGTGAATAGTGTAAAAGTCAAACGGAGTCAAATAAAAAAACAGAGGAAGTAGTACAAAATTAAATATGGTTTTAATAAGAGTTACACTTTCTTTTTGGACAAAAAAACTCCATTTTAATATTATATTTCTCTGTTTATGGTCTCATCTAAACTCACTATTACTTTTTTTTCATTATTTCTTTCCTCTTACATTCATTACTTTCAAATAAAATATTAATCCCACTATCATTCTTTTATAATTATTTAAAATACTCCAAACACCCTACTTACCTCTTTTGTCATTAATAGAAAGTTATTTAGAAATAGAAAGATTAAATTAAAATGAACATTAATTACACAGATCGATGTGTGATTTTGTCATGAATGCCTAAATTAATAGCACTTTAGATAATATTTTAAATTTATATCTAACGCTCGGGGGCGTTTGTTACCTAGATCCGTAATTAAATTACCCATAATATATGCCGATCATAGTTTATTATTTATTACAAATTTACAACACAGAGAGAATAATGATAATAGAGTAATACTCCCTCCGCATTTAAATATTTGCTCCACTTTTCATTTTTGACCGTATTTAAGGGTTTGTTCTGTTCAGTTTAATTTCGGTTCAATTCAGTTCAGTTTAGCTATCATCAGTTTAGTTTAGTTCAGTTCATTTCCTAATTTTCATCTCTCATAAACAATTCAGTCAATTTAGCCCCAATCAATTCAGTTCAATTGTTTTCTTTAAATCTAAACAAGCCTTAAATACTTGCTCTATTTCTTTATTTGAAAAGCTTATACAATATTTAATTCAATTCTATCAACTAGTAGACCCAACATAAATCATATTTTATTAATTTCATATTCTCTCATCTCTAATTCTATCATCAACCATTTATACTTTTTAAAATTTTTTTATTCTTCCACCTACCTCATTACATCCATATTTTATTACTTTTTCCTATTTCATCTAAAACTCCGCACATAGAGAAATTATAAAAACAGAAGGAGTAATAATAAATATAAAATCGACAATATATACGATAAATATAATACTCTCTTCTTAAATACTTGCTTCATTTCTTTTGAACACGTATGCCGATACTAATATTTGATCAACAATTTTTTTTTTTAAGGAATAATCAACAATATCTTTAATTACCAACAAGTATATATTCTAATAATTAAAATTTAATAATCTATTTATTAAGATGATTTCAACAAGTACCAACAAGATTATATTTATTTTTATGTATAAATCACAAACATTAATCAAAATATGACAAATGAATAGTATATAAAAGGAAAAATACACTTTAATAATCTCAACTTTGGCCAATTTACTTTGAATAATCCCAAGTTTTGATTATTCTACAATAATCCCAACTTTCCTCCGTTTTCTTCTAACAATTCCAAACTGGTCAAAAGTCAACAAACTATTATTATAGGTTACTTGACACGTGTCGACATATGAGTGGTTTAAAATAATTTTTAAAAAAATAATAATAATAAACTCAGTCATAACAACCACCCCATTACCCAACCTTAACCTTCCCGACCACCACTCCTCCTCCTACACCATCGCTGAAACCCTTTCTCAGCCCCGCCGCCGAAACCACCCCAAAGTCAAAACCCCACCCTAAACCCACTCAAATTCACCCTAAAATCGAAACCCACGTCACCTTTAACCAATCGAAAACCACTCCAAAATCAAACATCGCATCGTCGTTAAAGGGTATCATCGATTATCGTTTCCATGTTATCTCTTCACCTGAGATTTAAGCGATTTTGATGATTTTCTTGAGTGTTGCAGCTGATATGATAAGGTTAGGGTTGCAGCAGGTCGGGGTTAGAGTTTAGGGAAGGGAGGGTTGCAGCGAAGGTCGGTTGGTGGTAGAGGTGGGTCGCCAGGGGTGGTTGGTTCAAGGCGGCGGCTTAGTTGTTGGTGAAGGTGCCGGAATCCTTGGCTGGGAAGGAGGGAGGTTCACTGTGGGGCTGGTAAAGGGATTTAAGAAGGGTGTTTGTTGGTTTTTTTTTTTTTTAGAAAAATTAATGCTTGACACGTGGCTGGTTTTTGGGATTGAAGAAATAAAACACTAGTGAAAGTTGAGATTATTGCAGAATAATCAAAAGTTAGGATTTTTCATAGTAAATTGGCTAAAGTTAAAATTATTAAAATTTATTTTTCCTACTACCTCCGTTAATTATTATGTGCAACAAAGGGGTATTATTTGCGAGACATAAAATATTCCTTTGTTGCACATAATAATTAACGGAGGTAGTATATAAAATAAAAATGGAGCAAATATTTAAAAACGAAAAGATTTTTATACATAAATTTATTCTACATAGCGGATAAAAATAGCGAGTGCTCATAACAACTTTGGAATTTAAAGTACAACTAGTTAGTGGCCCGGGCGATGCCCCGGGTCATTATAAATATATTACTTTAATCGAAGTTTGTTTGTCAGTGAGAGCTTAAGTGACGTTTTTTTTTCTTTTTTAAAATGATAGCTTAAGTAGTGTGTTGTTTGTATGAGCTGGTTTCATTATAAAAATAACGGTTTGACTTTAAAAAAAACTTTTTTTAATGCATTAAAATAAAATCTCTATAAATTTAATGTCACAAATTTGATGTCAAAATATATAATACTCCATAATGCACAAAAATCTTTTACTCTATAACTACAATTTTATGAATTAATGCACAAAATAAAAATGGAGTAATGTTAAATATCTTACAAACTTTATTATTGTGTAATTATTAAGGATTGGAGTTACAAGGAAATTTATATAGGGTGTTATGCATATAAAGAGGTTATCAATTTAATTAAACATTAATACATGGAGGTTAATGTATGAAGTTTTTCAATTATTAATGGTCTTATATGATTTACGATACATCATATGTCAAATGATAAAATTGATGACACATGGCAAAATAACATGTCTTGTCATAAGTTTTAATAATATATATTGATATGTAACTTGTACTCCGTTAACATAACTTAACATATAAGAGTTGGCATGGCCGCATGGCACATCAAACAAATATGAAGCCCCACAAAAAAATACAGTACTTATCATTAAGGATACGAAACAAGTACAATGGCGCACCTCATGACAAAAACCAAAAAAAAGGAAAAAAAAAACAGTGAAATTTGGTTTAAAAGGGTGTTATCATCTGCTTTCCTCTGTTTCAAGTCCCACCATCTTGTTGTTCCCCCTCCATTCAATAAAAACCGAATACAACAAAATTATATATATATATATATATATATATATATATATATATATATATATATATATATATATATATATATATAAAAGGTTATTTGTTAATTTACGAGTAATTAGTAAAACAATTAATTTTCTGTAGAAATGTGAGTTTTAATTTCTACAGTCTTTATGAATTTTATTTCTCCTTCACCTTCTTGTTTCTTGAAATGCTATTATTACCATTGTTGTTGTTACCCTCTTTCTTTTGATGAGAACTTCTGGAATTAATATGATTTACACCATTGTTGTTGTTGATACCCTCTTTCTTTTGCGGCTGAGAAGACGAAGAGAACAATTGGCTAAACCCGAAAACACCGGACTTGGAAGATCCACGAAGAGAGCAAACAACAGGCACATTTAGAACAGGAGTAATCCTAACATGAACATTTCCAGAATACGACCTCTCCATTATTCCTCTGTTTTTATAACTATTAATGTTATTATGTCTTGGTCCGCCATTCAAACTACTTGGACTGCTTGAACTTCTCTCTAAACTATGAAATACTACTTTTCCTGATGAATTCATTCTCGGACTATCAACTGAGATATTTCTCTTCGCCGTCAACCTATCATTTCTCACTGAGCTCCTCCCTACCCGTGGGTTCTCTCTGGGCCGTACACATTGAAGTTTTGGGCCGGATCTATTGGGCTGACTGTTGGGCTTTTCGCAGGTTAGAGACGGCCGAGGGAGTTCATCGTGATCGGATGAAGTAGAAGATAGTGAGATTGGAGACAAGCTAATAGATACAGGATCACAATCCGTCGAAGAAGACGATGAAAGTGAGGAGTCCTTCAGCAATGGCAGGGTTAAAGATGAAGTGTCAGTGGTTGTTTTTGAGTTTCTATTAAGAAAATATCTGATAGACTTGCTATTAGCTGACGAAGAAGACGTCATTTTAGGCTGACCCTGAAGCTTCTTAAGCCCGAGAAAATCCCTCCATCTACTCGAACACCTCGGAGCTTTCGGTGAAAATAAATACGGATCTTCATTTGCTGTACTTTGACTAGAGTTCTCTACCTCCGACGACTTCACCTCCTCTTCCGGCGGATTTACCGACGGCGGAGCTTTCTTTGCAGTGGAAAATTGCAATGGAACGAGCTTACCGTCGGAAAAGAGCTCGTCAGCGGGGAGCATAGTGAGGTTATCACCGAGACGAAACTCGAAATCTCCGGCATCAAAGATGGAAGAATCAAGGTCAGATTTATGTTTAATTTCTGAAGAAGATGAACTAGAATTTAAATTTGAATTCGAGATTTTGGGGATTAACCAAGGGTAGGTTGAGTAAGAAGTTGGGATATTATTTACACAAACGGAAGCCATTGTAAGAGTGGTGAAGTGATGATCATAGAAAAACAACAATCTATTTTTGGTGTTTGTAAATAGTTTGAAAAATAGAATGTCACATTCACATCAACAGCTGTAATAAGGATGGAAATGGAAATGAGATCCAGAAAGTGAAGGAGGAGAGAGGATGAGAGAGTTTGGAAAATTGGAGCTTGACTAGGGTTTGCTGGGTGGGTCGGTCTTTGCCATGTCATGTGCCCACTGCCCTAGATTGGGGTTTTAATTATTTTTTTTTTTTTGTTAGTAAGACAACTCTCATTCACGTGCAAATAAAAAAAAATGACATTATTTCTCTACCCACTTTCTCACTCCTCTTTTTTACTTTTTTTCATGGGCATTTTTTTTTAAAAAAACTTCTCACACATTCATGGGCTAAGAAAAAAACTCATATCACTCTCTCTCCTAAAATATTACTATCATTACATTATTTTTAATATGTGTAACTTTTTTTTTTTTGCTGATTTGGTACCATGGCCCACACTACTGTAGCAATAAATTTTTGCCATTGCTATGGGCATTTGAGGATTTCCTCATGGACATTTTTTTTCTAATGCTCATGAGTGGGAAGCCAAAATTTCATTTTTTTTTCATTCAATTCTCCTCATGGGCAAAAAAAATGCCTATGAGTGAGAGTGCTCTAATAAGATGTTTTTTTTTTTTTGGAAGCATAAATAAAGTAAGGTTTTATTATTGTAGGGAATATTTCAAGCATCAAACATTTGAGCCTTACTGTGGTCATACACTTAAGTATGGTGGCATCCAAAAGAAAAGAAGGTAAAGCAAAAGAGTCGCCAACAAGTTTTATAAATTTGTAAACCGTACACATGGTGAAGGTTACACCCCTTCACGATCCATGAGATCGCTAACTTAAAAGTGGTCCAAAACCATGACTGGACATTCGGGGATGAAGGTATAAATCCAACTTAAAAGAGATTGAACTTGCTCTAAAAATAAGCCTCTACTTTATTTTTCTCATATTATTGTGCGCTTTCTGACTAACATACAATCAATATATTAATTCTAAATCTGTTTAATCTGTGTTGGTTGAATATTAATGCACAAACACTACAAGAAAATAACCTTTTCGTAGCGATTATTTTAACCTTTAGTATCGATTGTAATTACAACAAAAAGTTTCCCAACGAATGGTCATTCGATACAATATCCCCTATTGCCTTAGGATTATTGTAGCGATTACAAATGCTATAAATGTTTAACTCATTTTCTTCCAAAAAAAAAAAAAAAAAAACCATGTGTATGATCTTTACAAGATTCGAACATGCAACTTCAAACTCTTATATTAAGAGCTTCACCAATAAGCTATGACATATTTTATGTATTCATTGACGAACAATATTTATATACCTAGTGTTGAAAAGGCTTTTCGTATCGATTTTTAGGTTTAGTGACTATTGTAAATGATACGATTTCTCAAAATTACATGAATGTGTAAAAATAGTGTGGATATGTATTATTATGTTTTCCGTATCGATTTTATATAGGAAAAACATGACGATTGTAAAATGATACGACTTCCTTAATTATTTCACAAACATACTTGCATATTGTAGCGAATGTACAATTGCTACGAAAAGACCTTTTTCTTGTAGTGAAATAAAACTATTATTGGCGATCACTTTAATTAAAATAATATTAGCCTAAAAAAGATTATTAATTATCTTATTAAACGTGATTACAAATACAAATCCCCTTTAATCTTGCAAGAGAGAGCATGATCAAGCAATAACAATAATATATCAATAATAATAATAATAATAATAATAATAATAATAATAATAATAATAATTGTTTGGGGTAATTTTACCCTGCCACGTGGTCCAATAAGAAAGTGACACGTGTTAACCTAGGGTTAGTCCAAAATGGACCAACCCCTGTTTGACACGTGGCATTCCAAAGAAATGGGAAAAAAGGCGGCCTTCATGCCCCAAATCCCGAGAAAGCCGCAATGTGGCGCAGCCCACCAATGATAAGGGCTCGATGACCTTATCAGGGGCACAATTCTCGAGAACCCTATAAATAGGGAGGTCTCCTCCATTTGGGGACACGTTTTACCATTTATTACACAATTACTCTTTGATAAAGACATCTCGAGCTTAGAATTCGAGCAGATACCCACCCTAAATTTCCGCACCTTTTTACTCCTATTCAAGTTACTAACTTGATCGTCGGAGGCAGAGCTCCAACCAACCAGAGTCTTCGTTGTTTTGCAGCTACAGCTCACGCCGGACCAGACTTTGTGACGTAACTCTCTTGAGGGACAAAAACACCCAAAACAACAACAACAACAACAACAACAACAACAACAACAACAACAACAACAACAACAACAATAACAATAATAATAATAATAATAATAATAATAATAATAATAATAATAATAATAATAATAATATTCTCAAAGTATAATGATATTAGCAAGATCATAGGCATGATACTAACAAGATTAATAACAAACTCTAGTATGTCACTAGACATTAAAAATCAAAGCTTTAGTCCTAACATGATACTAACATGATAGAAGAAGATAGGAAGCAACTTAAGTATGATACTAGAAAGCAATAAAAGCATCCTAATATGATACTAGAAATTAAAATAATATAAACATGATTTCTAAAGACATAGAACAATAAAACCACTTAATTGGTTACCTCGTATCTCTTTCTATCAAAACAATACACACGTTAGTAATTTCAAGGAAAATATTAAATCAAACAATTAATTTAAATTATTGAAATAGGGATTTGGAACCGAGCCCTTAAAAATTATCAACCTTTCATGTCTAGGGCGAAGGCAACTTTGAGCTTTGTTATATGTGTCTAGAACTTGTGAATGCGGTATTTTTATTTAAAAAATTAGGCTTAGAAAGAGGGAGAAAAAAAGCTATTAGCTTGAGAGAGAATAGAAGATTGATGATGATTGTGAATGATTAAAAACGGGGAAATACGAACCTATTTATAAATAAAATAGTCCGAAAACATAAAAAGACTGGATCCTATTAGGAGTAAAATTGCCTCAGTCGTAGAACGACGGAATCTAGCGCGATGCGACAGGCTTGTCGTTTAGTGCTGCTTTTGTCGTTCTGCGCTGATTCACGCGCTTTTTAAGAGTTGTACAAAATCCTTAATCAAATTAAATTCAATCAACAACGTCCACACTTATCTTTGAAAATCATATTTAATCTCTTTAAAACAATTATTTTGTTCCAAATAGAATTCCTTATTTTCATAAAAATATAATTATCATTCCTAATCTTATTAAAACTCAAAACAACCTTCTAGATTATTCTAGAAGATTAAAATCAATCCTAATAAATTTAGGAATATTAATTAATGGGCCCTCCACTAGATCATTTGGCCATAGAACCATTTCAGGCCCAATTTAGTATTTTGGCCATCACTTCCTTATTATTCATCGAAATTAGGCTTCTAATATATCCTTGGAAATCTCTTATCGAACCCAACCCAAATACACTATTATTGGACCCTTATTATGGATTAAACTAAATTAGACTGGACATTTTCCATATATAAAGTGCATTTTCAATAAGAGAAAGAAGAGTTATTTTATTAAAAACAATCTCATCGTAAGATTTTTCACACTTTCTTTTCGTTCGATAATCAAATGGAGCAAAAGGTACTTATCACTGGGTTTGGTTTTGGGGAGACACAATTAAGTGTCTATAGAAGACCCCACTTTGACTGAGTTTGGAGAAACGCATGTTTCGAAAACAAAAGTCAAAGTAGTGATAGGGACGGAGAATGATTTAGAACGTTCTGCGATCCTAAATCATTCTTGTAACGCCGATACCTGTAAACTAGAATTAGTTAAACAGATAAAAGAGTTAAGAAACGCGTATCTTGCACTGTCGAGCACACGCGTCTGGGATAACTGTTTTTGTTGTGACGATTCTCCGGAGGCTAGGGAACACCATCGAAGATTGCTCTACTTGTATCGATCTTCTGCCGTTTTGTGACCCGCAATCCCGGAAACATAGTCGAAGATAACTCTGCTTGTAGCCATCTTCTGCTTTTATGACAACTTTCGTCTTCGAAGGTGACTCTGCTTGTAGTCATCTTCAGTTGTTTTTGACAACCCTCCACATGCTAATAAACGTCTTCGAAGACCATTCTGCTTGTAACGATCCTCAGTTTTGCGTGATAAATTTCTAGGAAAGTTATCGAAAATTACTGCTTGTTAATCCTCAGTTTGCTGGTGCTTTGTTGGAATGCTTGTTGTGCTGTTGCTATTGATGTCCACTCGTCTCTGAACAATGGAGCTTCAAATGATATGTCCACGCATCTATAAACAAAAGAGCTTGATGAGGGATGTTCACTCATCTCTGAACAAAAGATCTTGATGAAATGTCCGTCTCTGAACAAAAGAGCTTAATGATATGTCCACACGTCTCTGAACAAAAGAGCTTAATGATATGTCCACACGTCTCTGAACAAAAGATCTTGATGATATATTGAAACTAATCATCCCTTGGTCAAAATAAATTTATAAACACTTAACAAACCTACATACAAGTATAGAGGAAAGTCAAGGGTCGAACCCAAAGCAACAGTAATGTTTAAGCGCTTTCAATTATGTGCCTAAGCTAGGTCGAAGTCTAAGGATTAAAGGTAAACACTAACCAACTAACAAAACGAAGAACCAAACAAATAAAACACTAGGAACGGGGATCAACAAGTAATTATCATGACTATTGTAGCAACTCGGAAATACATGTAAGTCAATGGTTGTGAAAACTAATGGCAAGCTCAATCAAAAGAGGTCAAACTAGCGCCAAATACGAGAGACTCTAACTAGGAGCATCACTAATCAAGCTCAATCGACATTGCAATTCCTAAATCAATGGTCCGTATCATTAGAAACTACAATGCAATCTAGCATAATTCTCAAGGCCTAATCGAATTACACACATGCAAACTTCCATTAATCACTTTAATCTCAACAATTAAGCAACACAATCCCCAAATTAAGCACAATCAACCAATCATACAAGTTTCACCCTATCCCTAGCCAAACAACTACTAAAACATCATCATCTAATCACAAACAACTAAAGAAAACAAGAATTAACAATATATGAAGAACAATTACACTAATCAAAGATCAAACATCAAACATCAAAATCAAACCAAACAAACAAACATGAACTAACTAATCAATGCAATAAATGAGATAGAGTTTAGAAATGCTCATTGATAATAGAGAAGATCTCCAACACAATTATCACTATTGAATCTTCAATCTCTCAATCACCATTGAAATTCCACACTTTATCTCTCTAAAATCTACTCCTAAACTAACCCTAAAAACTAGAGAGACAAGCTCTCACCTAAGCTAAAATTAAGATCTAAAATTGTGAATTCCGGTCTTTCAAAATCGGGTTACAAAGAGGTATAAATAGGAGGCGCGAAACAAAAACCGAGCAAGCAAATACACAGGGGAGCGTGCCCGCGCGAGCAAGGAGGTGCGCCCGTGCTAGCAGGTGGCACGCATGCACTGGCTGGTTGCGCGCCCGTGCCCGTGCCTTGCACACCCACGCTTGACTGGGTTTCTTCGGCTCTTCTCGCGGTTTCGTGCGTTCGCTAAGGTCTTCGAATGAACGCACAATATTATGATGATGAAAACTAAGAGTGGCAGTCCCAAAAAGCACTTGACAGTGGGTTCAACACCCCATCTTCATGAGAGCATGACTTGAGAGCGCAAGAGCTAGAACTTGGAGAATCCACTTCCTTGCATCTTGAGCTTT